AGAGCTGGTGAGTAGGGCTAGAGCTAGGGGTGGTCATGATCAGTCTCCCTGAGAAGGCATCGAACAGATTACAAAAACTTGAGCAAAGTAGTCATAGGTACATCAGGGGAAGTGAATTCTAAAATGGCAACAGAAAGCTTCAAGGAGACAGAAATTCCTGATGTATTTGAGGAGGTGGTACGGGGAGAGTTGTGAATGGAGCCCTTGGAGGAAATAGAAAGACCTGAGTTTGCAGAGGTAACGTAGGTTGTGTGCGCAACATCATGTGGGGCCCTTAGGATATTTTATTTATTTATTTATTTTTAGACAGAGGGGAAGGGAAGCAGAAAGAGAGGGAGAGAGACATCAAGGTGTGGTTACACTTGTGTATCCTCTACTGGGGATCTGGCCTGCAACATAGGCATGTGCCCTGACTAGGAATCGAACCAGGGACCCTTTGGTTTGCAGGCTGGCACTCTGAATCCACTGAGCCACACCAGCCAGGGCAGGATATTTTAAGAATTTTTTTCTTTAATCTGAGAGTATTGGAGAGCCATTCAGCTATAAGAGCCAGGACACTAACTCAAACTTACTTTTTAGGGGAAGTCTAGGAAAAAGCTGCCAAAGTCTCCAGGTTTTCCTGCTCACTGTGACTTGAGGGTTTCTCTCCCAGTAACCACATATCAAGTCACAGGGAAGACATTAATGTGTCTAGCTTGGGTCACAGGCCCTCTCTAGACCAATCACTGAGAATAGGGAGATAAAGCACTGTGATTGGCCGGTCTGCATCCCATGTCTGTCCCCTCTAGAGATTAGGTTTGGGAAGTTATCTCTAGAAAAATGCATAAAAGAAGTTTGAGACCAGGGCATAAATTTTCATCACCTGAAGAAGCAGGAATGGATGCTCAGCTGGCAGAAATAATGAGTGATAACTAAAACAGTAATGAAAGCCAGTACATGGGAAAGTGAGATTTGATTGCATAGAACATAAAATGAAGTCTGTATGTCAGAAAAAACCACAATCAAAATGATAAAATAAAGCACATGTGGAAAATTATATGCAGGAAACATGACAAGAATACTGTCAATTCATGAATAGTTCATAAATATCAATAGCAAATTAAAATCTCAATTGACAAATAACCAAATAATATGAAAAGATTAATTCCCCAATCAGGAAATACAAATAGCTGAGAGAAATTCGTTTAACTTTATTATTAAATGAAAAAAAAATGGTAGTTAAAGTAATGCAAACTATTTTCACACTGACACATTTTTATGTCAGTAGTTGTAGAACCCTCAAGGACAATGAGAATTCTACAAAACAGAAATTCTTGAGGTGTTCTGAACTAGAAATATGGCATTAGGTAGGCAAATACAAGTCAGAGAGGGAGGACTACTTTGGAATGGGATATTCAGAGAAGTCATTTCTAGGAAGCAACATTATAAGATGAGATTCCAAGTATGACAAGTTCCTTCCAACTGAGAATAGGAAGAAAAGTTTTCAGGTTCAAAGACCTTGAGTTGGAAAGAATTTGGCCTGCTCTAGGAATGGACAGGTCAGTGTGTTTGTAGCATTGTGAGACAAGTTGAGAGTCACACAAGATGGGGATGGAGAGGCAGGTCATACAGATTCTCAAACTTTTATTTAAAATGTTTGATGGCATAAGTATCAGTTAGTATGTGCTAGGGTAACAAATAGTGTCCAAATCTCAAAGCACAGGTTTATTTCTCACTCATGTCACCTCCTCAAAGGTGTTTGCCTGACTCCATGTCTTCACTGCAGGTTCTCTGCTACAGAACAGCCTATCTAGGTTGCTCTGGTCATTACGATAGAGAGAAGAAAAAAACATGAGTCTTCAAGCTTCTGCCTGACATGACATATGCCATTTCTGCCCACATATCATTGGCCAAAGCAAATTACATTGTCAAGTCCAATTTCAGTAGGGTGAGGAGGTAAACTCTCCCCATCCCCCAATTAAGGGAAGTGTATGTTGGTATAATCATCACCTAGTAAATCTATATGCTTATATGCATATTAATCAAGAGACAGAGAAAGTTGAACCTTTTCCTCTTTATTAATAGATCCACTGTAGTTATTATCAGAGAAACGATTACTTAAAAAGACTTACATTGTATTTTGTGTTGCATGCTTTAAGAGCTTAAATCTCCCATTTCTCTAGGTTTTATAAAAACAACTTTCTCTGATTTTTATGGGTCCTTAATTTAGAGACAAAATTTAAATCTCCTTAGTAGACAGAATTTCATATTTACTACCCAAATCTAAGACACTTTTATTTTTTTGGTTAAGTGTCTTGAGCTCAAGAGGAACCATTTGCTTATAGTATTAAAATCAGAATCTAATGGTACTAATTTACCAGGTGCTTTTCCAAGTGGCAGAGTATAATATTTTGGCACTTTACTCATGTTTAAATTTATAAGAGAGTTCAGGAATGTATCAGTGTTTTTCATATTGAAAACCAAGAAATGAAGGTACTTTTTTTCTCAAAGCCCCACAAATGGGCCAGAGTCCTGGCAAATAACATCTTAAACATTTACCATTATCCCTTTTGGCCTGAGAACCACCAGTAAAGTTAAGCAAAGTTTAACATCACCTTGGGTTGAAGTAAGTCAAAGAGGCAGAAGTACTGGGGGGAGAAAGATATGAGTGACAGGCAAAGAGATGAAAAATTGAATGTAGATTCGAACTGCATCTAGCCATGCTTGAATCATGTCAAATTCTCAGTACTGTCACTCTGAAGCATTGCAGCGTCAGACTGTCCTGCCTACAGTTTTTTTCTCATTAAACTCTGTTTACTACTGGAAAATGCTCCTTTGGCACAACAGTTGAAAAACCCTTATTCTCTTTTAACTATTAAATTTTTGCCTTTCTTGGATGGAAGAGTTTGACTTTCTTTATTGCCTTCTAGAACAACAAACCAGATAGTGCTTCTTCTATAGGAGATGGAGGGAATTAAATTTGTTGGAATACAGATTTCCATTTTCAAAAGAATACTGAGTTTTTCCATGGTGATTTTTGTCGATCCATTGCCAATCATAATCTCTCAACAATAGACTAGGGAAGTTCATTCCTGCAGTGATCACACAGCCAGTCCAGGAGCTGGCTCCTAAAAGGGGCTCATAACAAATTCCAGTAATAAATAATGGGTTAAAAGAATACACTGATGTTTATGGAATCACTGGCTTCACTTGAACAAATTCTATTTTGCGCCTCAAAGGCTGCTGCTAGGGTGATTAGTTATTTAGTGCTCAGAGAAAAGTTATACATTGGGATGTTCGTTCAAACTACTTTATAGTTTATAGTTGAAAAACATGGACAAAACATTAACCAGTGTTAGGGAAGAAAACTGATAAGTTAAAGTTGATCTAACAGGGCAGTTTTAAATACATATTTGCAACAAAATGCATGGTATTAAATGAACATTTTGAGTTATTATTTCTCATGACTAAGGAACAAATTTCACAACACACAGATAATTCCACCTTATCCTCTCAAACAAATTTTATTTGTATTCTGCTCTAACAAATATAGTATAAAGGCAACAGTTGTTTAAGTTTCTTAGTGTACAGCACAGATGAAAAGCAAGAAATGGATTTAGAAGCAGTGCAGCATTTAAATGCTGGTTTAACATAAGAGGCACGTATTATTCTATTTAGCAGTTTATACCAGATATCAGAAGACATATTTTTCCTGGCAAGCCACAGACCACATTTATTTGCATTAAGTAAAAACATATCTTGATCAAGAAAATTAATTTGTTTTTCTGATTTTTCTTTATATCACAAATGTCAGGGTAAGGCAAATCCTTAATGAATCATATGATAAAAACCCTATTCCCCAAGAAAATATATGAAACATTCTGCTAACTTGGTTATTTTTCAAAGCAAAGCCAACATGCACCACATACAGGGAAATGTCATTTCAAATCAAGTGCATCAAGCAGAACTGTATTAATTCACAAAGAGGCTTTTTAGTGTTTCACAGAAAGATTTACAATTAGCTGCGGTGCCTAATATGTGACCCAGTATCACAGAGAGTGTTTCAGATGCCTCCTTTGTAAGTTTTTATGAAAGAATTGTCTGTCATCTGAATAGTTACCAGCTAGAGGACAAGCCCCTTTGTCTTTCCTATAACCAGTACCTTTTTATTTAGAACTATGATGTTGAAAGCCCACTTCAATCCTGTGTATGCAAACATGACTAACATGGGGCTGTCCCCACTGCCCTGTAACCCCTCATGCCACATAGCTGGGCTGCAGTGTGGCTGGAAATTGACCTATGGAATTCACGTGTTGGAGAAGCAATCAGCTTTTCCAACTTTCCACTGTATCACTGTGCAATGGATTTCTTGTGTTGAGGTGTCTTCAATGTGGCCCAACACTAGATTTTTAATATTTTATTATTAAAATGAAAATTAACTCCATTATTTATTTTAAATCATAAAATCTTATAGCCCAATAGCAGTCAAAAACTACAATAAAATAAAAATGACAACACAATTTAATCATCAATGAAATTTAAACAAATCAGGAGTGGGACTGATAGTTACTCCTCAGTCTCTTAGTTTCCTAGACAAAAAGCTTATTTTCTTTTCAGTTTTCAGACAGAGAACTCCTTCCTCCCTCCCCCGCATTGAAAATGAAAGAATAAAATGGCTGTTCTGGATGACAAGGAGAACTGGGACTAAAATAATTCCAGTCCCACTGTTTCTAGCTGGGACATTAGGTCTCAATCTTCTTCCATTAAAAATCTCCACCCCTCTTGTCTCCCTCGTGCGTTTTGAACTGTAACATATTACTGAGCAAGAGCAGCACTGATGTTTGGGAGTCACAGGAAAATGTGCTCCTAGCAGATTGCACTTGTCAAGTACTTCACAAAAATGACAGCAACTTTCAATTAAGTTATAAAGATGACATAAAATATAAAAATATTTATATTAATACGGCATCATTTCTTGAATCATCTAAAATGAGCCTTTTTCTTTTCTTTTCCTAGAAAGCAATGTCTAATGGCAGTGAAGGACTGTAGAATAAGTGACAGAAGGAGCAATGGCCATGTTCCAAACTGGTGAGGTCACTTAAACAGAATGGTTGCTAGGTCGATGAGCAGTTTTAAGAATGGAATGTTAAAAAACATATCACATATGCAGAAATAGAACTTGCTGTTGATGCCAGTACACCAGATGGGCCATGCAGAGGGGCAATACCTTCAGAAAGGCCAACACAAAATTCACAAGACACAAAGTTGAATCTCCATACAGGAAAGGTAAAAACAGAAGAATTTCATGGAATATTTAGAAAGCAGAACATCCTTTTATTTTAGAAATACTCAATTTGATCTATTAATTTTATTCTTCTATTAAGAAAAAATATATAAATAACTTAAAATTCTGAAGCTTTTATAAGGAAGATGAATTTAAGAAGATATGCAAGAAATAATAACAGTTAACACAGGGAAAAAAACTGAATGATCTTAGAACCCAGGGAGGCTGTGGGAAGCTGTCATCTTGCCCCGTAAGGTCATTGCTTGTCTTGGCCCTTCTAGGACAGACATTTGTGACAATGTTAGACTTTTTCCTGGCCCTTCATCCCTGTGGCCAATTTACTTCTGGTATCTTGGCTCATTAGTACTGCTTCTCCCCTTAGAGGTCATAATCTGCTGAAAGAAAGGACCAGCTATTATATTAGTCTTAGACTTGGAACAAGAAAACCACACCATTTAAATGGAGCCAGGAAGCCAAAATTGTAAGCAAGACCTAACTGCCTCTAACTTTAAGTGAGAATCTGCTCCATGGGCCATCAAACTTTGGGTAAAGATAATGTTCTTTTTTGAAAGCATATATACAAAGAGAGATTTCAAGTGGAATTTTTTAATTTCACAAGCATATGTTTGGATCCTAAACATAGCAGCCCCCTCTCAGCTAAAACACCTGGAAAAGTGCCATCCCTTTTAATGGTGTAACGGAGTCCCAGCTCACTGGGGGCTCTGTGCTGAAGCACTTGTTAAAGACCTCACAGACCTCACAAACCAAGAAAGCTCTGCTAAGACGAGAGTCAGTGTCAAAGAACACCTCTGCTGTCCTACAGATCAAAGGAGAGACCCGAGAATGGCCTGCCATCTTTGGTACACCTCTGTGCTCTGTTCTGAATAAAGCCCCACCTCCACATTCCTCATTAAACACGCGGAACAAAACTGTAAACTGTGCCTTGGGAATCCCTGAAGAAAATATCATTTTCAGTTAATTGTCCTGACCTTTTTTCCAAGTGATTTTGAGGGTTTTGCCTATTTTCTATTCTGCCTCTTTTGCCTGTGGATTACACTGACATTGGGCTTGGTGATTCCTGATATTTATACTGCAGCTTATGCAACAATCATCTTCCTTTGTTTCTTTGAAGAAACCGCTGTTCGACCAGCTTTGTGAAATAACTGAGAAAACAGACAGGGCCCAGGCTACACACATGAGTGCGAAATCATGACCCTGGGGCAAAGCTGTGAGAGAAAAGACAGAAATTACAGGAATAGAGCCTGACAGATGCGTTAGTGGGGGTGCCCCACCAAATTAAAGGGTTTTTGTTTTCCTTTTTTCTGCAGGTAAACAGAATAAAATACAGCTGGCGAAATTAGAGCAAAGGATTTCTGGTCCTTCCATGGGACTTGCCTACCCCCACCCCACCCTCCTCCATAGCTCTGGCCGCTGTCTTCCCATCTTCCCCAGGGCCAGCAGAGGCCCTGTAATGCTGAGGACTGGCGTTGACTTCCATTTCTTTGCTCCTTTGCTTCACCTTGTGCCCCTGCCAAAAACAAGGAGAAACCATTTGTTAGACTAAAGATAAACCGTCTTCATAGGCTTAGTAAAGATTCTCATTTTTAATACAGTTGTTGCCCCTTATCTGTGGCACAATTTGTTCCCAGACTATGTGCCTGGAACCTCACATAGTACCCAATCCTATGTATATACTATGTTTTATCCTTTACATACATGTGTATGATAAAGTTTAATTTATCACAAAGGCATAGTAAGAGAGTAACAACAATAGCTAACAATAAAATAGAACAATTATAAAGCTATACTGTAATGAAAGTTATGTGAATGTGGTGTCCCTCAAGGTATCTGGAATTTCCATTTAATATTTTTGGACTGCCATTGACAGCAGATAACTGAAACTGTGAACAGAAAACTGTAGATAAACAGAGACCGCTGTAGAGCCGTTTACATCTCTTGCCCTTCAAATAAGCCTAGTAATATTTTATTAGATTAGCAAAGAACTTTGGGTGTCTAAGATGTAATTGCTGGCACATGGTATCTTTAAGAAGCATATAAATCACTGCTTAATAAATGAATGCCACACTGACAACTTGCGTTTGCTGATGGGGATGATTAACACACCTCTTCAAAGTGTTCTTTTAAAGATCTAACCTTGACTTGATGTTCAGTCCCTTTGTGGCACCATTCCTACACTTTAGTTTCCAGATATCAAAAGAGAAATAATAATAATAATGGCAGTTTATATAATGTTGATTTGCAAAAGACATAGATGGTTACCCCACCATTTTGAGATGTTGCTTATTAAGGATCTGCTGTGTTCTCCAGCTGAGAGACCTCTAAGAAAAAGCCATGCCTTCGAAAAGCCTATATACTTTGTGTTTCTATGTTTTTAAATATAAGGTATAACCCATATATAGGGAAATGCATAGATCTTAAACACACTTTAGTCTATTTTAAAGATGCATACATTTAATTCACACCAGTACCAAGATAAAAAACACTCCCATTGTCCTAGAAAGTTCCCTTCCCAGTCATTAACCCCACTTGTCCTGAGGTCAACAACTGATCTGATTTCTATCAACATAAATTTCTACATTTCTTCAAAAAAATTGGAGCAGATGTCCTCTGAGCTAACTTTTTACTCTGATATTCTATGAATCTTTTTAAAAAATACTTTTGAGGTTTTTAGGTGTGTAAAAGCAATACTGTACCAATTGTAGACAATATTTAAAATATTCTCAAGTAGGCAAAGGAAGAAAGAATCCTGCATAATCCTCCCATTAAGAATAAATTCTGTAGTAAATATTATGGAGTATTTCCTTACAAGATTTTTTTCTATATCTTCCCTATATATTTGTATAACCATATGTTTTAATTTTAGCAATGAAAATTGTAAACATGAAGAAAGTTAGACAATAAAATAATACACTAGAATAGATCTATTATACAGATTTAATGTGTTAATAGTTTTCAAATTCTCGTAATTTTTATTTCACTCAAAACATTAAAGATAACTTAAAATTTTATAGATAAATTAATGTAATTTATAAATAAATTAAAACTATTTCTCTTCCTTTGCAGAGATTACCAAATCCTGATATTGGTATGAATCAATAATTTGCATGATTTTATACTTTTAAATACATATATTTATAAACATGCACACACATAATGAAAAGTACATGGTGATAACTTTGTATATTAAAAGATGTACATAAATAGTAATTTTGCTTTACCCTGTTTTGAGCCACCCACCTATTACTATTATGAATTTATAGTCAATATTAATTTTAATTTGCCTTTGTGCTTATCATTTTTCTTGGCTCACAATTGTTTCCTGCACCCTATTCTTTCCTCTGGGCTCAATTTTCTTTTTACCATTGTACTTTTAGGAGCTTTTAAAGAAAGTAAGCAGCAAATTATCCCCCCTGAAAATGGCAAGTATTGGTTTCTTAAATGATAATAAAACTAGTCCAGGACTATATTGACAATTATTTTTATCCATGTTTTAAAAGCTCACAGCTATTCCATTGTCTTCTGACCTAAATTCATGTTGGGAAGCCTGCTCTCTGTGCAATACTAACTTATTTCTAGGTTAACTACCCTTTCTCCTACATTCCTTAAAAAGTTTTCTCTTTGGCGTTATTTAGTGCCTACATGTGAATTTATTTTAAGTGTAAGTCCTGTGACTTGTTGTTCTTCCTTTAACTTAAAATTTATGACCATTATCAATTCTCATAAATTCTCAGTTACTATCTTTCAAGTATTGACAATCCACTCTCTCCTTTTAGAATGCCTATCAAACATAAAAAAGTTTAAATGCCCTATTTTGCCATATGTAATGCACACTTTTCTGCCCAAATTTTTGAAGGAAAAAGAAGGGTACACATTATACATGGGTAGAACCTGAAATACCTTTTATTCGTTTTGTGTTTTATGATTGCTTCATAAAATTTCCTGTACCATAATATGTTAAAAATAAATGTTAAAATGTCTTTCTAATACAAAACAAGTATCTAAATATACATAAATACATAAATTAAATTAAAAAATTAAAATGAAAGTTTTATTTTTGCGAAAGTTCAGGCCAAAAATGTGGGTGCACATTATACATGAAAAAAATATGATATTCTCTTATTCTTCATATCTCTTCATGTGTTTTTTATATACTACATATTTCCATGCTTTTTCTAAATTACTTTTACTTTTCATAATGTTTCTCTTTTCTTTGTTAGATCTGTTTTTTATCTGTCATGTATATGTATATTTTATAATATCTTCAAATTTTTCTACTCTCATAAGTTCTGATAAGTACTAGTTGTCTCATAATTTTACCCACTCACTCCCATTTTTGATGAATCATTTCCTTGTGTATTTTGTATCTTAAAATTATGAATTTATCTTCAGAATTTTTTTCTGCCATAAGAATTCCAAGTGGCAGTTTCACATTTCCACTTGCTGCCTGCACCAGGGATAAGGCTAATCTATAATCAACTATTAAATTAACTTCTGTTTGCATATTACTGGATAACATTGGGTGGCATAAATTTGTTTCAAACTCATGGTATATTTTTGTTTTCTACTTATTATGGGAGCCTTTTTCTTTCTTCAGGCAGCATCCTGAACAGACTTCAGTCTCCTTGTTAATTTCTTGATCTGGGATCCAAGATTTATATATATATAGAGGTATCAGTTCCATCTTCTTATGCTGAGTGGCTCAAGGTCTCAGGTGGGCATTAGAACCCAGTCCCTAGGTATAGAGCCTTTCTCTGCATCAATGACCAATCTGTAGCCCTTAGAGATTCTGCACGTTCAGTGCACCAGGTTATTGTTTTGTCTTTCACGTTCCTCTTTACTTATGGTAATTTGCTTTTGTGTCAGTTGAGCTTTGTACTTTAAAATATTTTTGTTATAGTTTATCTCTAATTTATAAGCATTTGTATTGAGAAGGGTTCTGCATTACCCTCACTGCTTCGGTTACCTATTGCTATGTAACAAGCAATTCCAAAACTCAGTGGCTAAAATGATCAATTATTTATTATTTCTCATGATTTTATAATTTGGCCTGGCCTCAGCTGGGCAGTTCATCTGCTCCAGGTAGTATCTACTAAGGCCAGAACATCAAAGAAGACCTTTCAGTTCCTCTCCATGTGGCCATTGTCATTGTGTAGAAGAGCCAGAGCTTCATTCAAGGTGGCTAGAGTCTGGGAGCAAGCATTCTGAGTAAGCAAAAGTGGAAGTTATTGGGTTATCTAAAAGTCTGTTTCAGTTTTTTCCATAAAATAAAAGATCTATTTTTCATTTTTGTTAATAATTTTATTGATTTGGATATTTTGAGTATGTTGGCTATCTCCTACGTGGGATAACATCAATTGTTCTTAATTCATGTCTTGATTTGATCATTATGAATTTTAACTGGTCTACCTGACTGTGGAGCATCATGCAGTGAGAAATCTCCAGCAAGAAACTTCACAAACTGCTTTTGACACATTAAATCTGTCGCAGTACCTTCTCCATATGCTGCATAAATCTTTTTTGCATTTCAGTTGTGTCTTTGCCTTTCATAAAACAATAAAATACAATATGCTGAAAATGTTGCTTATTTTCTTCCATTTTCGACATTAAAATAGCTGCACAAAAAGTCACCAATTTTGATGTTTTTTTTAAATGCACACTGAAATGACAACTGTCACAATACAATCTAACAAAATTGTTTTGAGTAAAATTAAGGACAATTAAATGCTACTACAGTCATCTTACCGAAAAGAAAAAATCAAATGAATTTTTTGGCCAACCAAATACAAGGCCTCTTACTGCCCAACGTGGAAGCCACAATCTGCCTGCCATATTTCTCCATATTTCTCTAGTTCCATAATTATCTTTAAATGTCCTCAAATACTTATTTAAAAATTATATATTTTCAGAATATTCTATAGATTCATTAATCTATTCCAGTGTTATTATTATATCCCCGATTTTTTACAATTATAAATTATACAACACAAAGCATTTTTGTCATTGACCTTCATAATTCTTACTTAGTTTCACTGCAGCTCTTTAATTTCCGTGAAGGTATGACACACAGAGCTAAAGGTTAGGCTCTTTCTTCCTGTCGAACTACCAGATAACCTCTCCAAGCACAACTGTGTAAATATCTCTGTGGGTATCAGTGAAGTTCCTCAGGTCACACTGTTCTTTGTGACAACAGTATTCAAAATTTCACTATTGTTTGAGGAGCATTTTGTTGTCATCAAAGAATTTTTTATGGGACTGGAACTGAATTTCCATGAACTAATTTTGAATTTCAGGTTTTGACAACTTACTCATTTGGGTAAAGGTATAAATTGTTGCTTATGGTCCAGAAAAATATTTTGACATTACCAAGAAAGACAGATTTGTCATGGTACTGTACCTGGATATTGATCACACAGGAAAATAATAGTGTCTGTAAGAAAAAATCTGGACAAGAAATCACACAGTTTGTTCCAACAAAAGGACAAAAGGTAAGGCTACACCGAAGAGCTTGTATTTAAATTTTTCAGGTTTACTCTCACTTCACTGCTTTTTATGAAAACTTCTCTATCATATCTTTTTTGCAGCTTAGTAGGATATCTAAAATACAAGAATGAGGTTAACAATAAAAAAGAAGAAATCATTATAAGACCATGTTTGCATGTGCTTATTTTAGCAGTTTTATGTTATGCATTCATTATGCAAATTCTATTATGTTCTATTTTAAATGATGTTCAAGATCATAATGGGAAGGACAGATGTGTGTTTTCACACATTCTCAAACTTTATTCGGCTGTGATGCAGGAGCTCCAGAGTCTGGAGCAGCATGTCCTTCTGGGGGAGTGCTGAACCTACCGAGAAGATACAGGGAGTGCAGGGAGGAGCTGGGAGGCAACAGTACAACACATTTGTGTCTTATGTTAGACAACCCACAATTCATTTATTCCATAGGATTTTTTTACAGCTAAATATTTTAAGCTAGGAATTGGAATAGCAAGCCTGACTTCTTTCCTCTAATTCTTCTCACCAGCCCTCAAGATATGAAAAAGAGTTACAGACCACTCTCATCATTCTAGACATACTTCAGTCTCTGCTAAGAGATTCAGCATATTGGTCTGGAAAAACTCCTAAATATGGTCTGGCCCAGACTTTTATTTACCTTGGGAGTTCCCTGAGGAAACCCAACCAACCTGTGTGCAGACACACAGGTCCACAGGTAGTAGTGTGAGAGATTAGGATGTAAGACAGGCCTCTTTCTGCCCCAATACACTCAAGGGACTTCACACATGTTCCAGGGCAAAGATTTAGTTATTATGCTTAAGTAGATAATCCTAAAACAACTCAGCAGGTAACTTCTGGAATAGCAATACTTCAGAATCAGTTTGGGGTTGCTGAAATAATTTAATCACTCTAGGAGACTAGGTGGTGAGATGGATCAAAAACTGTTTTTTTTGTTGTTGTTGTCAAAGCTCAGAAGACCAAAGTACTGAATGATTTGAATATGCTGTGTTTTTTTCTTTTTCTTTTAAAGTTGTCAAGGGTCTATGGTAATTCTTCCTAATTACACTCTGTTATTTGGTATAAAGATTTTTAAAATTTAGTATAATGCATGTTGTGGGAATTGGTAGAGTCGATGGAAATCCAAGACACCATTTACAAACAGTTCCTCTGACCGGTTGAGTCAATTAAAAACTCTATTACAGCAGCAACTTACCTCGTAGTTAATCTTACTGACTCTCTGTTGGGTCATTTACACTGTCAACCTGACTATTCATTTCAACTGTAACCAGAAAGGAAAACACAAAGGTTAAATATTTATTAAAACCAAATCTCTTAAACACATTAAAATGGTCTCTGAGATGTTAAATTTGATTTTCTTTCTTATACTACTTTTCAGTTTATTTTCATTAATTTATGATTTGGGGACAATTCTTGTAGATAATTACTGGAAAGGAATGGGGAAGGTAGAATTACCTCTTTACTGAATTGTAGAAATTAAGTTGTCAGTTCAGATTTGGGGGTTGACATTTTGGGTATATCCTTAGGTAAATTCAAAGGCCTTAATAGATATTTGAAAAAAATGAAGAGAAAACAAAGCAAAAGAGATCACTGACCTGCTTAGCTTCCCTTTGAAAAGACTATGTCAATAGACCCCTTTGTTTTGCTATGTTTTCAATTTTGAAATTCAAAACAAAGCTTATGAATTTACCATTGGGTGCAGTGTCAATGGGCTCCATGAAATAGAAAAGCAAAACACCTAACCAGATCACAAAGCAATAATAATTTACTTTGTATTGTTCTATGTGAACATTTGCATACAAATATAATGCATCATTACTGCCAGTGTTCAAAAATAGCCAAGAGCAGGCATAACTCTGCTCTTGGAAATTTCAAGGGCCATTGATTTAATTAGAGTGATATTTTTAAAGCATCAAAGCCCATATTATTAACTGAGGAATGATATACAAATGGACAATGGCTAGAGCATATATAACAATAGAATTCTTACTTAAAAATTCTGCAGGAACCAGCCTGGGCAATGAAACTACAACCTCTGCAAAACTTAGCTCAGACTGGGCAGTGACTGCCAGGTTCCCTATATTTTGACCCAGGCTTTCAACACAGGACAAACCAGGCCCAAGTCAGTCTCTACAATGCCCCACTTCTATTTAGCCCAAACTCTCTTCCCCATGCCAAGAAATTCAATCAGAGGATGCTTTGAGCCTTCCTTTTTGTTAACTATAAAATTTCCCACTTCTTTGCTGCCTTTGAGTTGCCCAAAGACAAGTGATAAAAGATAATACTTTCATAAACTCTGAATAAGTAATCCTTGTGTTTTCTTATCTGGGTAGCCTTTATTTGCACAAAATCAACAACCAAAATAACTTTTTCTTGAAAATGAAAGCTTGACTGAAGTAAAATAATGGCAGATGCTGACTTGCACTCTCTAAAGTGGTTTGAAGGGAATGACATGCTACCCAACTGCATCTGCACACTGGCCTGGGATTCTACTGATGTGTGAGCTCATTTTAAACTCAGGTATAAACTGGTCAGACAGGAAGTAGGAAATTCCACTTATATAGAAATAATAATGTGAAGGGGGACTGCCAAAAAACAGAATTATCTTCTGAAGGGTAGGCCCCTTGTAGTACAGGCTTTTCCCACTGGGTGAGTGTTCTAGAAACCCATCTGTATCAGTGTACCAGCTGGTGTTATTGTGAGAGGCTGTGTGGCTTCAGCGATTTTTTCTGAAGATTCTTTTAACATGCTTGCCCATTTCATGATGGGTGATTTCTGAGTGCACCCGCACACACCACACTGAGTATTCAGCAGTTTTTGACAAAACACAGCATGACACCCATGTCTTTGCCCTATTCGCCAAATCTTGCCTAAAGTGACTTTATTTTCTTTCCCCAAATAAAAAAAAAGTCCTCAAAGGGAAAGTTTTGCTGATGTGGAAAAGGTGAAACAAAAAACAACAGAATCACTAAAAGGCATCAAAATTGACAAGTTCAAAAACTGTTTTGAGCGGTGTGAAAAACATCTCAGTAGGTGTACTCCAAATGGAGAGTACTTTGAAGGTGACAAGTTTAGAAATGTAAGAATAAATACACAATTTTTAAATAAACTCTGGGTTTTTTGGGTCCCTTTTTATACATGTACTTTTTTTCTTTAAAATTATTTATTTATTTATTTTAATTTAGTTTTATTTTTAAAAAAATATGTTTTATTGATTATGCCATTACAGTTGTCCCATTTCCCCCTTCATTCCCCTTCACCCTGCACACCCCTCCCCCATTCCCCCCTTTAGTTCATGTCCATGTGTCACAAGTTCTTTAGCTTCTACATTTCCCATACTATTCTTGCCCTCCCCACTGTCTATTTTCTACCTACCATCTATGATACTTATTCTCTGTATCTTATCCCCCCTTCTCTGCCTCCCGCTCCCCTGTTGCTAACCCTCCATGTGATCTCCATTTCTATGGTTCTGCTTCTGATCTAGCTGTCCACTTAGCTTGCTTTTGTTTTAGGTGTGGTTGTTAATAACTGTGAGTTTACTGTCCTTTCACTGTTCATATTTTTTATCTTCCTTTTCTTAGATAAGTCCCTTTAACATTTCATATAATAAGGGCTTGGTGATGATGAACTCCATTAACTTGGCCTTATCTGAGAAGCACTTTATCTGCCCTTCCATTCTAAATGAAAGCTTTGCTGGATAGAGCAATCTTGGATGTAGGTCTTTGGATTTCATGACTTGGAATACTTCTTTCCAGCCCCTTCTTGCCTGTAAGGTCTCTTTTGAGAAATCAGCTGACAGTCTGATGGGAACTGCTTTGTAGGTGACTGTCCCCTTATCTCTTGCTGCTTCTAGGATTCTCTCCTTCATTTTAATCTTGGCTAATGTAATGATGATGTGCCTTGGTCTATTCCTCCTTGGGTACAGCTTCTTTGGGACACTCTGAGCTCCCAAAGCTCAGTACATGTACTTTTAATCGTGCTCTATGAAGTTATTGTAAGTGCATCCATCTCAGTGTGGAAGTGTGCAGAATAAAGTGTAGTAGAGCATTAATTTTCTGTTTCTTCTTCTAACTCAGGGGTCACTAATTTCAAAACCTACTATCCAGTGTTATCATACAAAGTATTCCATGATCAATTACACTTAGAAAAAGCAACTTTAAACTATGCTTTAAAAAATAATGTATTTATTTATTCTTAGAGAGAAGGGAAGAGAGGGAGAGAAACATCAATGTGTGAGAGATAAATTAATTGGTTGCCTCTTGCACACCCCCAACTGGGGACCTGGCCCACAACCCAGGCATGTGCCCTGACCAGGGACTGAACCACTGACCCTTCAGTTCAGAGGCCACTGCTCAATCCACTGAGCTACACCAGCCAGGGCAAAACCATGTTAATACATTTCTTTTTGGTTGAGACTTCTGAGAGCCTGTGTAATATGCATGGTGAATCTCCAAATAAGGACTTAGTATTACTCACATTTATTTCCTTTTTATTGAATAAGCATTGTATGGGGTTGGTCTTCTTCAGAACATTCTTGTAAAAATTTGTTAGGAATTGTATCTATGGAGGCAAAACAAGGTTGAACAAGTTTTGTTCAACTGAGTGTGACTAATGTGTGGTAACTTTTAATGGATTGCTCTGGTATTTAAAAACATTATTCTCCCAGATAATGTTTGCCCATGAGTAAAAAAATCAGTTCATGAAAAAGGGCCTAGAGCAGGCAGGCACACCCAATACTATAGGAAACTCTATGTAAAACCACCAAGTCACTTCTACCAGCAGCTGTTTTTTTCCAGGGTCATTATCTACTCAAATTAATCCTCCCCCCCTTTTTTTTTTTTTGCTAAAATAACTCAAATAGCAAGATACATATGCACAGTTGATCACTGAACAATTCTGGTTCTCTTAAGCTCTGTGGGGACAGTGGCAATTAAATATTTATTAAATAATGTGTGCTCAAATAGTAGTTTTTTTTCAATGCAAGCAATGACATTTCAAAGGGTTTCTAGCAAGAGTCAACGTATGAGGGTATTCCTGAGGCTCAGAATCTTCAAACACTTTCAAAATGAGATGTGAATAAAAAATTCATAAATGTATTTCTATGATGCTTTTAAAGACTCAGAACGTTTTTAGGGCCAGGACATCAGATGTGATAGAGTGAGGTAAAGTGATAAAGGTACTAGAACAACCTTAGCCTAACTTCAAGCCAAGGCTCCAGAGTGTGGTTGAGGTTACAGTTGAAGAAGCACTTTTTTGCAGAAGTGAGTGATATTTCTGTAACGTTCACCAGCTAGACTTCATGCAGTACAGTTTAGCCTCAGAATTACCCAGTGTGGCCTCATTTTTGTGAGATATGAATAAACTGAAGCATATTCTGGTTTTTAAACTGAGCTAGAGTCAGTGTTTAAAAAAGGCTGACAATTTTACTAGTTCCCAGTAGAAAATGGTTTTTGAACTTGACCTCGTTCTAACTGAATATTCGAATTCATAGAATAAATGGCTCCCTTAATCCTAGATTACACACAGAAAATGTACCAGATTTGTAGGCTGCATGAGCTCAGAGTGTTTAGAACTTACCATCAGGACTTGTCGAGCCTTCTGTGTCACCAGAGCCTTTGCTTTTCACAGAAACTCTAGGCGTGTCCTCACCTTGAGCTGCAAGAGTGAAAGAAGATAGTCCCTTGATTAATAGAAAATTAGAACAGTCTGACTGCCAATTGTTCTGTCACCCTCCATTGCTCTCAAATTTAAAAATGCTCCTGGGATTCAATTTCTTTTGAAGAAAAAGTTAAAGGAGGAAATAGTGGTTTGAGCTGCAGGGACACCTTAGTGCTTGCCATCTTGAACATTTTCTAATTTGTGAGATAATCACATGTACACATATGTGCACATTTTTTAAAATTAGAAATCTGGTAGCATGAAAGCAGGGAAACTTGGTTTAATCAGAACAACCTACAATTTAAATTTAGAAAAATTTGTATATGTGTGAGTTTATGTAGCTTAACCTTTGAAGAGAGAGGAAAAAAGAAAGCCTACTTTGCCCTAGGCACACCTGGAAGCAAAGCAGAAACATCCATTCTCCTGGCAGTGAGTTTTTTTCTTTTTTCCCCTACAAGTGAATGGCTTAGTTGCTTCTCTAGGAAACCTCTCAGATGCTGCCATTTGGGACTGCTGAGAACCCAGTCTTTAGTTAATTTCCGTCGTGATTGTTGTCCATTTGCATGGTTTTGAAAGGTGTGTCACCCATTCACTCTGACTGAAGCTATATTACATCCTTACATGGAGGAGTAAAGGAATTTTTTTTATTGTGAGAAACTTTCCTGGTAGTTAATATGCTCTACTTCTTAGTTATGTTTTCACAACTTGGAGAACCAGAGCATTTGGAAATCAGGATGGTCACAGAATTGGTTGAATATGGTCACAAAATAGAGGAAAAGGTGAAGGCTATGAAAAATGAAATAAAGGAAAATGTACAGTGAACCAATAGTGAAGGGAAGAAAACCGGGACTCAAATCAACAATTTGGAAAAGAAGAAAGAAAGAAACATTCAACCAGAACAGAATGAAGAAACAAGTATTAAAAAAAAGTGAGCAGAGGCTTAGGAACCTCCAGGACAACTTTAAATGCTCCAACATCCAAATTATAGAGGTACCAGAGGGAGACGAGGAGGAGCAAGAAATTGAAAACTTATTTGAACAAATAATGAAGAAGAACTTCACCAATCTGAAAAAGGAAATAGACTTTCAGGAAGTCCAGGAAGCTCACAGAGTCCCCCAAAAAATGGATTCAAGAAGAAACACACTAAGGAACATCATCATTGTTACCCAAGATTAAAGATAATGAGAGAATCTTGAAAGCAGAAAGAGGAAAGGAGGGCATTACCTACAAAGGAGTGCCCATGAGACTACCTGCTGATTTCTCGAAAGAGACCTTGCAGGCAAGAAGGAGCTAGAAAGAAGTATTACAAGTCATGAAAGGCAAGGAAGGACCTACATCCAAGATTATTCAGCAAAGCTATTATTTAGAATGGAAGGGCAGATAAAGTGCTTCCTAGATAAGGTCAAGTTAAAGGAGTTTATCACCACCCAGCCCTTATTACATGAAATGTTAAAAGGACTTATCTAAGAAAAAGAAGATAAAAAATATTAACAGTAAAATGACAACAAACTCACAGCTACTAACAACCGAACCTAAAAAACAAAAACAAAGTAAGCAAACAACTAGAATAGGAACAGAATCATAGAAATGGAGATCACATGGAGGGTTATCAGCAGTGGAGTGGGAAGGTGGGGGGGGGAGTTACAGAAAATAAGTAGCACAAATGGTAGGTAGAAAATAGACAGGGGGAGATTAAGAATATTATAGGAAACAGAAGTCAAAGAACTTATATATATAATCATCCATGGGTATAAACTAAAGGGGGGAATGCAGGTGGGAGGGGGTGTACAGGGTGAAGGGGAATGAAGGGGGGGGATGGGACAACTGTAACAGCATAATCAATAAAATATATTTTAAAAATACAAATACACATACAGATAATGTGCTAGGAAATCTATAATTTTATTTAGTTATTTCTGTAATTTTTTAAGCAGAAGATTAAATTTATTTTTATTACATGAGTATTACTGAGCCTGCACTATATTCAATTTCATGTGCCTTTGGGTGAGAATGAAGCAAGGATGGAAAAGGTATGGTTTATAATTTCTTCAAAGGAAAATACGTGCAAAGATAGAACTTTCACTCTTGTAATGATTTACTGAAAATCAAGAAGCATAACTCAAAGGTGACCAGTTTCTGAGCCTGGGTAGATGGATGGTAGAGCTGACAGTACTTGAAGACAAATAAAACAAGCAGGTTTGAGGAAGATGAAGAAAGTCATTTTAGATTTGAAGTCTGAAGTGCTGGGTTATTTTAGTGGAAATTCCAAACAGGTTTCTGCACTCAGTGCTGAGGGGAAAAATGCATTAAATGTGTACATATTTGAAAGTTATCAATATAGAAGTGACACTGATAATAGAAGTTAGGAAAAGCACAACACAGATAGGAAAAAAAAAAGACTCATTGCCTCCCAAGCCCTTCCAGAACAACATGAAATAAGTGTGTCCATGAGTTTTTTTTTTTTTTTGTTAGTTCCTGTGGATAAAAAGGGAAAAGAAGACTTGAAAGTTCCAACTGGACTTAACACTGTATCATATCCTTTCTCACTGTACCAATGCTAGAAAGAGATATTTTTTCAATTAGTCATCAACCTATTCCTTTTTTTCCCAAATGAAGTGTTTTTATTCAATTATTTTCAAGTACAGTTTTCTGTCTATTACTCCCATCCCAGCCCACCCCACCCTGTGCTCCCCACCTCCCTCCTGTTTCCACCCCCCTTATTGTCCATGTGTCCTTTATACTTGTTCCTCTTAATCCCTCCCCTATTTCCCCTGAAATTCCCTCCCCTCTCCCCACTGGTCTCTGTCTCCCTGTTTTCTGTTTCTGTATCTTTGTTTTTATTTTGCTTGCTTGTTTGTTTTGTTGTTTAGCTTCCTGTTAAAGGTGAGATCATATGGTATTTGTCTTTGAACAACCTATTCCTTAAAGACATAATTATAGTAGAAAACATCGATGAATTTCTCTAAGCCTGAAAGAAGAAAATCTTCGCTAATTTTCCTTCAAAACACAGAATAACCAAAAAATAGAACTATTTAATCTTATCTAAACATAATAAATTTTGCATGAAAAAATACCATAAGCAATGTTTGAAAAAAGAAAGGTTGCCCTGCATGGTGTGGGACAGTGGATTGAGTGCCAGCCTGAGAACCAAAGGGTTGCTGGTTTGATTCCCAGTCAGGGCACATGCCTGGGTTGTGTGCTTGTCCCCAGTAGGGGGTACTTGAGAGGCAACCACACATTGATGTTTCTTTCCCTCTCCTTCTCTCTCCCTTCCCCTCTCTAAAAATAAACAAATATTAAAAATAAAATAAGAGAGGTTACAATTGAGAAAAATATATATACCTTTTATCATAGACAAAATGTTAATATCTTTAATAAATAAAGAAATCTAAAAATAGAGATGAAAAGATCAAGAATCTTATAGAAAACTGAGCAAGAATTTTAATAATTATTCATTAAAAAATAAACAGAAATGGCCTGTAGTCATGTGAATACATGACTCACTTTGTTAATAATGAAGGAAACACAAATTTAAATCACATTGAGAAAGGACTTTCTGCCTAAAGTGGACTACAACGATGTAGCCTAACCCTCTTACCAAGAATAGCTAGAAACACTGGGAAGGTTATGTAAGACAACATGTCAATGCACCAGAGAGTCATCAATGCACACACTCTTGAAGAGGCACAAAATAGTGTGACACTCCGCATGTTCCAAGAAGTTGATCAGAACCTCCAGAAATCTTAAGACATTAGGAGCAGTGGGACAGTAGGGAGGGGCAAAATTTAAGGACAAAGCCCACCAAGAAAAAGGTGTCCTGATAAGTACTTTGAGTTTTCTGTGGAGTTTCTTGAAGGGTTAGACTTTGGGGCCAAGGGTGAACTTGAAAAAGACCAGCTCTTTAAAAAAAGTGAAGTTCATCAGCCTGGTTTCTTCAGATTGCTGAGCTGGGCAGTTTTGTATCTTTTAGCTAGCTTCTCTCTTGAAGGTCTCAGCTTTGAACAACAGAATCTTTGAAATATTGTTCTTATACACTTTCCTGTTCTACCTTCACCTAAGCCAGAATAAGCAGAGATACTACCTGCTGGCTTTTTTCTACAAGGTCTTCTACTATCTGTGCCTTCTATTTTAGGCCTGGATGCAGCTGCTGCTACTTGGGGCAAGATAAAGAAAATGTTTTGTGTAGGTTGCTTAATGCTTAATGAGTAATGATCAGAATAAAGGTCTCTGATCAACTTCAAAACAAAAACAAAAAATACAAAAGAAAAAAACCCCTCCACAAACAAAGAAAAAAACTGAAGCCCAACTTCTAATCAATTTAGTTCCTAATATGTTAGAGTTCTCTGCTCTGTCTTACCTGATTTTCAAAAGCAAAAATAAATCCTTTCTGGGAAAATGTCAAACTACCCTGAGCTCAAGTTAGCAGTACAACATTTTACACAGAGTTTAGTGTCCTGCATTAAAAAAAAATTACCTGGCATTTCAAAATAATCAGAATGAATCACTTAAAATTGAGACAATAAGATAACAAAGACATTGTAGAGATCCAGATATTACAGATACAACTTCAAAATGATTAATGTGTTAAAGAATAAAATTCCAAAATAAAAATGTTTTATAACAGAGAAGTTGGTCAGATAAATGGAAACTATTAAAAAAGTCAGATGCAAATTTTAAAAGCAAAAAATATAAAAGAGTTGAAGTTAAAAATTCAATAGGTGGATTTGGCAGCAATTAGACACAGTCAAAGAAAGAATTAGTACACTGAAAGTTAGGTTAAAAGAAAAATAAACAAAGTACAGTTTAAAAAAAGACTAAAAGGAGTTACTAAACATATAAGATAGGGTCTAAGCTATACATAATCTGGCAAAATCAGTATTTTAAAATATAATCGCTGATATTTTTTCCCAAATTACTAGAAGATGTCAAATCATGTTTAAAAAATTTTATGATCCACGAGCAAGATTAATATAGAGCATACTCCACTGAAGTTAATC